TTTTTTTTTCTTTATTAGTTAGATGTTTTTGCAAATTTTATTTAAAAGTTCGATTTATGCCACTAAAAAGATGCAAAAATTGTTGGTTTATATTTTTTTATAGTCATTCAGTCATTACAGACATATAAAAAATTTTTTTGTACCGTTGTTTCGATTCATTTCAAAGCGAATAAGATAGGCCTAAATTTTTACACGTTTACACGTCAAAAAAAGTGTATTTGCAACTTTGAGTGTAAACATTCAAAAACAAGCTTTTTTTTTCTGACTATTAAAAACAAGATTTTTGGGTGAATGTGCTTGATACAGCAATCGTAAAAGCTTCTGTTTCAGTATCCAGAAATATTAATTATGCTCAGTTTAATTGTCATATTTTTTGAAATGCTATAGTCAAATGTTCTACAGACATAAAAAACATTTAATAAACTTAATCTATTTTGAACAATTTATGGTACTTATTACTTCTAACAGTAACGCAAAAAAAAAAAATCGGTGATAAAAGGAATAGTATAATATCAACACTCAGCTAACCGGGTGAAAATTTTTTGCTGATAAATGCGGTGTGATCAAGCAAAAGGAAATACTTGATTTCAGCCTTTTCACAGCTTTTGATAAGTTGGTTTTCACTGTGTTTCAGAAATGTCTATGTTTTATTTATTTCTGGTCAATACTGGTGTCTAAAAATGCTCTGCTCAAGAAAAAAGCGATATTCTTCGTTCGCTCTTTACTCTCCTTCCATCGCTTCCCTCTCTTTCAATATATTGTCAGGTATAATGAAAATGGCAACTGAAAACCAGTTGATAGTAGCAAATGGTTTTTTTTTGTTTTCACTATAGTTGTTTTGTCTAGATTTTTTTTAGCTTCTAATGAACAGAAGAATGATTTAGAACAATTAGTTAGTTATTTTGTGGGTTTTTTTTGTTGCTCCATCGTTGACGATGCAATCTGCTGATCGCTATCCACCAACGACAACCGTGCAACCGTCGACGGTGACAACGACGAGGGTAACAATAACGACGACACCGTGAAAAGAGCTATTGGAATTTGCTTACAAATTGCCGTTGTCGTTTTCGTCATCTGTTCAACGACAAAAAGAAAAAAAAGGCCAGATTTTTTCACATTTTTTGAACTAAAAATAAATTCATCTCTTCTCTTTACAGGTGGTAATGACTTAAAAATTTCTTTCACTGATTACAATCTATTTTGCTACTACAGGAAAAAAGGACAAGCAAATTTTTTACATTTTACAGATTCTCAGTTATAATTTTTTTTTTTTTTGATGAGGAGAATAGAATTTGATGAAATAAATGCATCAAAAAATTGCTGCAAAGGCTTATGTATATTGGTTAATTTAGATTCTCGTTTGACTTTATGCTAAAGCGAAGGATACAGATTTGTCAGACTTAGGCTGGTTCTTTCTAATTTTGTCCTTGATTTTTTAACTCTTTCAAAAAAAAATTTTTTTTTGCTTTGTTGAAGTTATCTGATACCTTAATTTAAAAAATGTAACACAGAAAACAACAACAACAACAACAAGCACTTCTAGATCGTCTGATTACGACGAACGATTGTAGTAAATGGATCCATAAATGATCGGGACACTTAGATAGATCAATAAGGATTTTCTAATCGAAGGATGACATTGATGGTTGGATAGTTGGACCTCATTTATTTTATAATCAATTTCACATTGTCAAGGCCACAGGTGTACAGAGCAAATACTGCCAGACAACAGTCTTTTGGTCTTGACAGCCACTTTAATAAGTCGCTCAGATAGATTAGAGATTAAAAAGAAAAGGATAAAGACGTTATGTTTAAGATTTGCAACTTTTTTCTTTATTTAAATAAACAACTCTTGAATATAACAAATAAAAAAACGGTCTGAATCTTAAGTGATTAACGTATATGCTGGAGAATTATCTTTAAAAAAAATTATTTATTGAATACAGGTATTGTCAAAACACATTTATGTATTTCAATTATTCATTTGTTCTAAGAAGAGATATTGGTTTAGTCAGAGCTATACGTATGAAACAATTTTTAATTATAAAATTAAATTTATGCATTAACAACCACATTTTAAAACAGAAACTTCAATAAAAAATTTTTCTTTTAGTGATGCTATTTTACGTATATATCAATTAGTCGTTCTTGCGTCTATCTTGAAGAAAAATTTTAATAATCTAACCTAAGAGTAAGGTTAAATATTCTTACAAACGTTCATCAGTCTTTACTCTTTTGGTCTCCTGGCCGGCTCTCAGTGGCACCAAATGACTATTATTTTACAGCTAATGTCATTTTTATTAATTTAATAACAACGGTAAAACTATATTTTATTAATACCCTCTAAAACTAAGCACTGTTTTTTTCTTTCTTCATCAACAGAGTCTTTATCGATATTAAGAAAAAAAAAACAAAAAAAAAGAGACATTATGAAAAATTCTTAACAAAAACAAATACTATTGATCATGTAACAGGGTAGTAAAAAAGTGTAATTTATTAGACCAGTTAGTAGACACATTTGAAATTTTAATTGTACAACCAAATTATGTTTAGTAATCACCAGTAAGTGACTGATAATATTATTCTATAATCACAAGAATAGCCAAAAAGCTGTTTAAAGCTTTATTTCTTCTTCGTCTTGTTAGTACAAAAAATAGTTTATTGTTTAAACTGCATTGAACCGCAGTAACATCAACGGTATCAACTAATCGGTCTAATCGCATGTGATGCAAAAGCATGGAACAGTTGGCATCGTCGGGAATGGCGCAAAATTTGGAAATGATGATTCGTGTTCTTCCAAGGGATCCCACTGCAACAAACTTCGAACCCAGTCGCCCAACGATGAACTGATCTGCCTGCTATAAATAGCCATATTTTTCTCAAACTGAGCTAAACGGTCAAGTTCTTCTGATGTCAACTGACGTCGTTGTCCGTTCTCGACAACTGCACCGTCCTTAAAAGTCATAACTATAACAAACATTAAACTGACTGAGAATATAAAAGAGAAAAAAGGAGGAATTAAGCGGGGATGGATGGATGAGTAAACTGCTAAAGTGACTATGTTTGGTGTTTCTTCAAATAAATCTATGTGTAAATTTGTTGTGTCAGTTAACCTCATTTTGCAGAAACAGTTTTTATTACCAAACAGAAAACTTCTTTTTACTTCCCTGGTTTTTCTCTTCTTTTTCATTCCCTTCTCCTTTTTCTTCTCGATTTTCACCTCGACCCCCGTAGTCTTAATCGGTTTTGTCCAATATGTACAAATGTTTTCACTTTTTTCCATTTTTAAATTCATTTTTTACCATATTTCTCTTATTGTCCCACAATAAATAAATAAATAGAAAAGTAACAAGAACCAAAAAGGAAAAAAAAAATAGAAAAGAAAAAATTAGTGTAGAATACAACTGCAGAAAACGACAAAGAATTTCAGTTAATTATAGTGAATACACTTTAATTTAAGTTTAAAAAAGCAATTTTAGGCTAAAAAAAATTTTTTTTTCGCTAAATAACTAAATAATTGAGTGAATATTACAGCGGATAGTCCAATATGAAAATTCTTCGTAAATTCTGTAAAAACTAAGAAATAATTTACAGAACTTAAAGTGCTCTTATCTATCGTTTTGGTTATTCGTTAGTCTCTTCACTTTTTTTTTCTTTTTGTTCTATTTTATTTACCTTTTATGTTTATATTATTTTGTCAACTTTTTAAAGTTATAAACCTGATTGATCTATATGAATAATTA